GCGCTGGGTCTGCTTCTCCTCCTCTGGTGGGTGCCGTCGTGCTGCCGACACCTGAGCGTCGCGTTCGCTTCCCAAGCAGGCCGAGGTCCCCGCTGTGCTTCCGCGCCCCAGATGTCTCCTCAAAGGCACAGCAGCCCTTTCCCAACAGGCAGGAGTTGGCCAGTGTTCGGAGCTGCCCCAAGACGCACGGCTCCAGCGCTTTCTCCCGTTTCCAGCCGACGACGATAATGCCTTCTTTGCACAACCGCCTCGGATCCCAGGCCATTGAGGGGCCGAGGTGATTTGACAGAGAACGACAAAGTACGGCCGTGTGAGCTCAGCTGTGTGGACTCCTGGCTGGGCAAGGAATATTCAGGCAGCCGCGTTTGGGAATTCCTGGGATCCCGAGCGCCGAGCTGGAACCCGTGAGAGCGGGTCTCTGGGGCCCAGGATGGGTGAGGGCGGGCAGAAGAGAGTCTCAGGTGTGGAGGGACACAGGACGCCGCGACGCCCAGGGCTCCGGAGGGGGAGGCGGTGGGGTCGCCACACAGTCCACAGCGTCCCCCTGGCCGCCAGAGCCTGGGGGACAGGCCGGGGTGCACTGTCTCTGAGGGCAAGGGGCTCCCCCGGCGCTGGCAGGGAGTCCCCTCTGCCACCCTCTTCTGGCTAGGCCCAGCCGGCCCGGCCTGACCCTCGGACCCCAGGGGGCCCCGCCTCCTCTGACGACCCCGACCCCGCGCTCTGGAGCTGCTCGGTGTGTCATCAAAGCCGCCAGCACGGGAGGCGCCACAAACCACTCCCTCCGCGCGTCCCCTCCCACTGCAAACCATAATCTTGCCGGCAGACAGCGAGGATAGGACAGCTATTCAGAAGGAGCTGGCTTCGGAGGCTCGGGACATGTCCCGACGGCACCTGCAGGTTTTCTTTTCCTGGGGCCGCCGGGCACTGGCGGTGCTGCACCTGCCGCGGGCCAGCGCCCTGCCTCTCAGCCACATACCTGGGCGCCGGTGCAGGCCCCGGCCTGCTTCACATCCTGCTCTGCCCGTGATTCCATCTGCCCACTGCACCCCTTCTCGGCGGCTCGAGCGCAGTGTCCCTCTCAGACCGGCCGTCGGATTTTCTAGAATCCTGTGGCCATGGAAAGTGAGAAAGGCGACACGCCCTTGACTCTCTGCTTACCTCTTTCTGCTTTCTTAAAAAAAAAAAAATCCATGGCATGAAAATGTTTTCTTCCACTTGTTCTTGCCTTTTTCATCCTCTTCTCCTGCCTCCCCCACTCTTTTTCAAGACAACAAACACCTCTCTGACATCCCAGGTGAAGCGTTTCTTAAGGATGAGGTCCCTTTTGCACACCCCCTTTGTTGTCTGGTCCACGGCCTGCAGGAGCTGGGTACATGGGGAGGCGTGCGGACGTTGTGCCTGACCACACAGGACAAGCGTCAGGTGCTTGGGAACCAGGAGAGAACATCCACTCCCTGGTTAGTGACCCACCAGAATTCCTAGGGCTGCCATGCTGGTCTCCACATATACAGGAATCAAAAGACAGCAACGAGTAATGAGGCATTCAAAGAGGGTAGCAGCTTCCCTTGTACTTAGTCAAATTCACACGATCCAGATTGAGAACACAGCAAGTGTTCACGGGGTGACTTGGGCTGGTTGAAGCTCCTGTAACTTGGATACGAGTTCATGTGTACTCGGTGGGATTTTAGGCTTTCATGTTTTCATACAAATCAAGCATCCCAGTAATTTCTCTTTGATATTTTAGCGAATTAGAGCCAGTGTAACACAGGCATTAAATCTTGTACATTGCGAATCAGAGCCACAGTCATTAGTAGCGTGGTACCAATTGCTTTAAAATTAGTGGACTCTTGATGCGATGCAAGAGACACCCAGGAAATTCCAATGGGTTTATTAAACGGGATAAACTTTCCTGTGTATGTCTGTGTATCTTGAGTTTGATGTGGGATATGTGTGTGTACGAGGGAGTAGTCTCACTAATGCTGACTCCATTCGTGAACATTCTAGTGATTTTTTTCAAAGTTTTAAAACAAAGTTCATTAGAGAAAGAAGAGAGAAAATAAAGGGAGACATGCCAGAGCTGGCATGGGCGAGAGAAACCACCTCTAGTGATGTTTAATTGGAGTTTTATCCTGGATTCATGGGATTCCTTTCTCTAAATTGATTCAGCTATTCAAGACATTTTAGAAATCTCCTTTAACCTCCTTATACTGGCTAAGAGTCTCAAGCAATGCCATGTATGTAGCACAAGGAAGAACCCAGAAGCCAGGGTTTCTGCTTCCAGGCTGTTGGTGTCTGTATTGAACCATTACCTGTGAGCTCCTATGAAGACCCGAAGCATGCTCTGAGACAGGGCATGCATATCACTGTGCAAGGTACACCTATAATCATCTATGCATATATGCCATACTTACAGCTTATGGTGTGATCTAATAGACATTATCTCATGTGATTCTTTCTTACAAAAACCCTGTGAGGCAGAGGCAGAGGAAGCAGATATGTTATTCCTATTATACAGAAAATGCAATTTGTGGAGCAATTCATAGCCTATAGATAGGGCGACCACACATCCTGCTTTGTCTGGGACTACTACAGATCACACTGTACTGATGTAATTATGAGCATCTCATTGCCTTCTCAACTTCATTCTAGTCTGGATGATAATATCAATGCTACAGTCTCACCCATCTATTGATCACGTTTCACTTATATCAGATGTTCAGAGCTCAGGTGATGGGCTCCATGCCACATGGTATCCTATCGAAAAAAGGTATCAAGGGCTAGAACATGGTTGAAGGCTTGGGCTTAAGGCCTAGTACAAACCCCAGCTCTGCCAGGTCCCAGTTGTGCAAACATGGACTAGCTCCTGGAACCGAGGAAGTAAGTGCCACATCACAGCTTCTTGTGTCTGCCACTTCCTCGCCTGGCCTCTTATTGTGGGAACCTTGTTCCTCTTGCCCAGATGGAAGCCCTTTCCTGACACCACTCAAGAATCATTCCTTGTCCTTCTCTGTGTGAGGAGTCCAGCTCCTGCCCTTCTCCTCACAAACCAGCAGGGCAGTGGCCACTCTCAGCCTCTCCGCTTTCTTTCCATGGTCTGTTGACCCTCTTCTCACCTCTGTCTCCCTTTTCGATTAGGTACCGGCCCAATGTGCAGATGCCTAGCAGTAACCAAACAAGAAGGTCTTTACATCCCGACTGGAAACTTCCACTAAAGAAAGCTAACCCCGGCCGGGTGTGGTGGCCCAAGCCTGTCATCCCAGTATTTTGGGAGGCAGAGGTGAGGGGATTGCCTGAGCCCATGGATTCGAGACTAGCCCTGGCAACTTGGTGAGATCTCATCTCTACAGTAAATAAAAAATTAGCTGGGCATGGTAGCGTGCGCCTATAGTTCCGGCTACTCGGAAGACTGAGGCGGAAGGATCACCTGAGCTCAGCAGGTCGATGCTGGGGTGGCTGTGAGGGTGACACTGCCCTCCAGCTTGGGTGACATAGTGAGATATCAACTAAAAAAAAAGCTAATCCCAAGGCGTATTCAGATGAGAAGAGTGGACAGGAGAGAAGAGTCAATGGTCTCACAATACGTGTACATCACATAGCAACACCACCTGCAGTCTGAGAGTCCATTAGAAGATTCTTCTAAGAGCTGGAGGCACTCTGTCACTCCAAGGCTCAGGGGTAAGATCCAAGAAGAACAGATTTTTCTCCGGTCAAAGGCTTTATTATTAGAACTAGATAAGGTCTGAGTCTTGGCTTTGCTCTATACAAGTTTGAGACACATAGGAAATGTCTTAGTTTTCCTAAACCCAATTTCCTTGATATGTAGGATGGAAATAGAAAATACTGTTTATTTTAAAAATCTCTTAGGGTAGTTATGAGAAATTAGTGAGATCATGAAAGTAACGTGCCCAGCGCAGCCTGGAACAAGAGTGCTCGCTGGAGTTTCATATGGCATATTACTGAGATCACGGGGCTTGTTTCATTTCATTTATTTTATTTTCTGATTCTATCACAGTTATGAAGGATTCATTAAGGAAGACTTGCCCAATTGGCTTTAGCTAACCTTCTGGGCCATCCTGTGCTTTTAGGTTAATTGTTCCTATCGGGAGGTAGTGGCTTAAGTTCTAAATGCCACTTGCAGGGATTTCTAAATCCCTCTGCTTGCGTCCATGTTATTTTCCATCTCGGCATCAGTGTCGACTGGCTCTGAGATGTGGTGTCCTCACTCAGGTGGTGGGCTGCACAGGCGTCCCTTTTCTAAGCGAAGACTCCAGAGATATGGATAGAGCTGGGAAAGTGCACCTCAGGGTAGGGGAGGACCGCCTGTATTTCACCCAACGTCTTCAAATGTCCTTTAAGTTGACAAGCTCTCACCCCAGGGAACTCGGTGAGCCTGGCTGGGGCCACACAATAGGGGCAGTGTGGAACAAAACAGGCAGGAGGGAAGTAAAAATAAACAAGAGGATGTGTGTCTTAGGGGGAGGAATATTTTCTTGACCGATTAGGTAGGAGGCATGAAGTCCACAGAAAGCCACAAATTACTGACGATGAAGCTGGCGCAAAGACATTTCAAATGCAAAAGCATGCTTAGTTTTACTCAGGATATTTCACTGTTAGACGTCCTTCCTTTTTTACTCTCCCATGAAACTGAGGAGTTCACTCGAGTGACACCAATGAGAAGGGAGCTTTGCTTTACCTGGTAAGTAAGTATTTGGATTGGCTTTTCCCTCGTGATACTGAGACTGCAAAACACTTCAAGAGACTACCCGCTTTGCTCTCTAGCTGAGAGGGCAGTCATTAAATCAGAAAACACAAATATATTCCTTCTGCCTCTTCTTGAAATAGTATCAAGCCATCCTCACAATTTGCTGAACTGCAGTGAATATATATGTGGGTTAAATCTCTGTTTTATTATGTGTCTTTCCTAGTCACTCTACGTCTAATGCAAGTTCCAGTCCTCTCTTGGCCACGCTTGGTGGGAGCTGGCCACGAGCTATGGGTGACTGGGCAAGAGTGAGGGGTGATTCTGTGAGAAAGTGGGACCCAGTGAGATAAAATGGAGAGCCTCAAGAGCAGCTTAGAGAAACCTTTCCGGAGGGTGGTCTCCATAGTTTCAAAGTAATTGATTTCAACCTCCTTTAACAAACTTGTTTGCTAGAAATGGTGGAGGGGCAGGAGAGAAGTTGCAACTGGGAACCCAAGCAGTGACAGATGACAACACAAGCAGCAACGGCCAAGAATGGTCATTTTGGTCACAAATGGGGTGAGGGCAGGGGCAATTGACTTAGACTATATTAACCCTCATGAGTTGCACAAAGTGGGAACTTAGAGAATGTTTTGGATAATTTTAGGGTGCAAGCAATTGCAGGCCTGGTTTCCTACAAGTGCAGTCTTGTACGCAGAGATATTTGCAGGCTAAGAATGCAGGACTACCAGTTTTCAACAGTGGTTTTTAAATCCTGGAGTTAAAAAAAAAGCACTTGATTGTTTCCCAAACAGAATCTCTCCATGTTGCTTGTGGGGTGAGGTGCCCCTCTCCCAGAGGTCCACTCAGTGTGCTGGGAGGAGAAGAGGAAGCCAAGGTGTCAGGGAGCCGGGGAGTGGAAGGCTATCTTGCTTCCCCCAAATTTTAACTGCTCGCCCACAGTCTTCACTCAGCCCCTAAAAAAAGCAGAAAAAGACAAGGATCAGCCAAGTTGGCTGTACTTAGGATAAAGACAGGCCAAGCCTGGTAGCAGGGGTGGAGGGCCCTGAGTGGGCCTGATGGGAAGAGTGCAAGTCCTCAAAGCGACTCCAAGTGGACCTAGATGACCCTGCTACAAAGTGAGTGAACTTTCCACGTTAGCATTACTTATGAGTTGCTACAGCAGTGAAATTAAAAGAATAATCTGGTAGCCTAGATATAGTCACTGGAGAAAATGATCTGGAAAGATCTTGATGAGGACCAGTGGAGAAGGCGTGTTCCACACATATGGGGAAGTTCCCAAACAGACCCCATGAGTTCTTGCAGGCAAGTGCCAGCATCATCTTAAGGCAGACTAAAATTACTTGGAGCTCACGGTTAACTTTTTTTAGGTTTAAATAATGTCAAGTAATAAAAGAGGGTTATTCATATGGAGGTTATTATATACTCAACCTACGATAAAACATTTAGTGCAGATGTATAAGATTGATTCTTTAAATTATCAGTTAAAATCACACTCATGATTGTGACGCTGGAGAGGATGTTAAAAAATGTAGAAATTTGCAGAAAACAGCATTCTCATATATCAGACATAGTGGTTCAATCGGAAGCCCTGGCAACATGTGCTACAAACTCAGAATTATGCAGAATCTCTAACCCAACAATTCTACTTTTACAAAGGTATCCTAGCAAGGTAAGCACTGAGGTATGTAAAAAGATTTATCAATAGAGATGGTCATTTCAAGAATTATTTATGACAGCAACAATGTGGGAGCATCTGAAATGCCAGTGGCAAGAAAATAAATTCATAAAGTCTGTCATGGTGAAATAACATGCAGTCATTGTAATTCAGGGTATAGACAAATACTGAATGACCTAAAACAATCTTTATTAGATAGTGGTATATTTAAAAGCTTACAAAAATGCATTTTCAATGTGATCATCTGAAAAATACATTATTCTTATTGCAAAATATAGGTATACTTACAGATGCCTTAAAGAAGCCTGGAAGAATTTATACCACAGTATTAATCAATACTTAAATTTTATTTTGTAATTTTTTAAACTTCTGAAATAATCTTCAGTGACCATCAATTACTTAATCAGAAAAAGTCAGTTTAAAATTAGAAGCAGGCAAGTAATATAGGCAAGATGATAAACTTGGAGATCCCAACACTTGTCTCCCCCAACAAAAGCAAGAATTTAACAACTACACATCAGCAAAAATAGATCTTGGAGAGCTCCAGAGGACAGCTAAGAAGCTGAAGCAACCCATTAAAAAAGAATCAAACAGTATTTCCAGAGCTAAAGAATATAATGAATAAAATGGAAAATGCATTAGAGAGCCTCAGCAGTAGACTCAATCGAGCAAAAGACGGAACCTAAGAACTTGAAGACAGGTCATTTGAGAATATCCAATCAGAGGAGAAAAAACTTAAAAAAATGAGGGAAAAAAGGCAACAAAATTATGGGATATAATGCACGCAAGTGACCCATTGCATGCATTCTGAAAGCACTGAAAGGAAGACAGACAGAAGAGGGAAATGCTTATTTAAAAAAATAATGGCTGAAAATTTCCCAAATCTTGGGAGAAAATGGACATTCAGAATCATGTAGCACAAAGGAGGGTCGATTCAAGCAGAGTACAATGAGACACATTATAATCAAATTGTTAACACCAAGAACAAAAATAATTTTGAAAGCAGCAAGAGAAAGGTGACTCATGACATAAAAGGCAACCTGGATAGTGTACATTTATCGTAATACTACAAGAAACAGATTGGCAGTGGCGGGACACTGCTGGGGAGGGAGCGGGGGCACACGACATCAAGAAGGGCACCTGACCCTGAACCAGGGGCAGTGAGGACCAGCGGGAGGCCCAAACTCCACCGGAATGCAGACCGCTTGTGTACCTGACCTTGAATTGTACCCCACATCTCTCAAATAAAATAAAATACTGTAGCCCAGGGGAAGGGGTGGGGGTGGGGAGGAATACAAAGAAGCAAACTCTAAGAACATAAAATGTATGAAGGGTAATTTAAAGTATAGTATTTGTATGTGATTGAAGTTAAATTGTTATCAGCTTGATGTAGACAAGGTATTTTATGCAAACCTCGAAGTAACTATAAAAAAACTGTGGTAGATACACACACACACACACACACACACACACACACACACATACACACAATAATTACAGCAAATCATCACAAAATTTCATCAAATAGCAAAAGATGATAGCAAGAGAAGAAGATAGGGGAAAACTACTGCAAAACAGGCAGAAAACAATAAACAGAAAAGCAATAAGAAGTCAGATTGCTTTAAATGTGAATGGATTACACTGCCATATCCAAAGGCACAGAGGATTGAACGATTTTTAAAAAGATCTGAAAATATGCTGTTGACAAGAGATTCATTTTAAATTTAAAGTCACACACAGGCTAAACGTGAAGGGATAGAAAATATATTACATGCAAATTGTATCCAAAAGAAAGCAGAGGTGACTATAGTAGTATCAGACAAAACATATTTTAGGTCAAAAATTGTCTCTAGAGACAAAGAAAACTATCATATAATCACAAAAGTACCAATTCAACAGGAAGATATAACAGTTTTAAATATATATGGACTCACCATTAGAGCAATATGTAAAGAAAATATTACAAATAGGGGGGATAAATTTACAGCAATACAGGAATAGTGGTGGAGGAATGAAACATCCCATTTACAATAATGGAGAGGATATCCAGACAGAAAACCAATAGAGAAATGGCTGACTTGAATAATACCATAGACCAAAAATACCTAACGGACATGTACAGAACTTTCTATCCGACAGTAAAATAACACATTCTTCTCAAATATACACGTAATATTCTTTAGGAGAGATTGTATGTTAGGTCACAAAAATCTTGAGTAGTTTAAGAAGACTGAAATTATTCCAAATATCATTTCTACCAGAACAGAATGAAACTAGACATCAGTCACAGTAAGAACATGGGAAAATTTGCAAATACATGACAATTAAACAACACACCTTTGAACAACCATTTTTTCAAAGAAAATGTAAAGCTTATCAAGACAAACAAAAAACAGAAAGAACACACCAAAACTTATGGGATGTGGCAAACGCAGTGTTAAGACAAAAGTTTAAAATGATAAATCCCTACATTAAAAAATAAGCAAGATTGCCAATAAAGAACCTAACTTTGCACTTTAAAGCTGACAGAAGTAACAAAGATTAAATCAGAAATAAATCAAATAGAGAAAAGAAGACATCAACAGAACTAAAAGTTTTCTGAAAAAAAAGTTTGACAAATACTTAGAGAGAGAGAGAAAGAAAGAGAAGACTCAAAATCACAAATGAAAAAGAAGCCAGCTGGGCTTGGTGGCTCAGCCTGTAATCCTGTGCCTTTGGGAGGCTGAGGTAAGTGGATTGCCTGAGCCCGCGGGTTCGAGACCCGCCTGGGCAACTTGGCGAGACCTCATCTCTACAATAAATCAAAAATCAGCTGGGCGTGGTAGCGCGCAGGCCTGTGGTTCCGGCTACTCGGAAGGCTGAGGTGGAAGGATCGCCGGAGCCCAGCAAGTCGAGGCTGTGGTGGCCGGGAGCAGCCGCTGCGCTCCAGTCTGGGCGACAGAGTGAGACTCCAACTCAAAAAAAAAAAAAGAAAAAAGAAAAAGACGCCATTGCCATGGATGTTTCAGAAATAAAAAGTGATTATAAAGGACTCTTCTGAACAATTACTATGCCAAAATGGGATGATCTGGAAGAAATGGATAAATTCCTAGAAATATATGACCTACCAAATTGAATTAGGAAGAAATAGAAAGCCTGAACAGGCAAACATCAAATAAGAAGATGGGATCAGTAATCATCAGAAACACCCTAACAAAGAATGGTCCAGGACCAGATGGCTTCATGAGCGAATTCTGCCAAACATTCAAAGAAGAATTAGTACCAATCCTGCTTTTAACTATTCCAAGAAATCAAAGAAAGGGGAACACTTTCAAATTCATTTTATGAAGTCAGTATCACCCTGATTCCAAACCAGACAATGATAGCACAAGAAAAGAAAACTACAGACCAATATCCCTGATGAATATAGATGCAAAAATCATCAATAAAATACTAGCAGACTAGCCAGGCTCGGTGGCTCAACTTGTAATTCCGCGCCTTTGGGAGGCTGAGGTGAGTGGATGGCCTGAGCCCGCGGG